GTGTGTGTGTGTGTGTGTGTGTGTGTGTGTGTGTGTGTGTGTTAATTGTTGTGGTTATTTTTGATACAGGTTTTCTGGAAAACCCTTAATCATTCTACTTTGAGGAAAAGTCGAGAAAGTTGTAGTTCCTTATTGCAGAAGCTCTTAACTGAGAGCAAATCAGAACCTGACATCATCTTTTGAGAGATGTTCTAGATTTTAACTGAGCCCTTCAGAACAACCTTGCCATTTCTGATCTCAACTTTTATTCCTCATTTTCTATGTCTAGAATAGGGCAGTTATTGGGGGTTTTTTTAAATAGGGAAAGGATGAATAAAAAAAATTTTTTCGTTTGTCAATTGTCTAGAATAGTGACTCTAACAACAGGGCTATACATTTGAAAGTTTTCAGCTGCACTGTTTGGTTATCTGAAATTTAGCTTTTTATAAATATTTTATTTTTGGTTCTTGAATTTTTGTAGATGTTTTAAAAACGAGGCTCTCCTTTTATAAGTCAAACTTTTAATTGTTACATGTGCAGACATTTTAATATCCACCCTAAATCACTAAAACAACCTTTCTTTTCATTAAAGGAAAAAGTCATTGTTGATGGGGCTTTGAAATTTTATTTTGAATTGTTAGGATGTGGTTTGTGGCTTCTGTAATTTCTTCTTCATGAATTGTCAGCATCTAATCAAGAACTAAAGCTGTTTAGTAATGGTATATGGTACATTTATATACGTTCCTCCATTCTCCACATAACATTCAGCTGCAGAGTGTAATCAGTAGGATGTTTAACTCAGTATACATAACTTGTTTTAAATTATTGATTGAACTTTTCTAGACGTTTGCCATTGCTGGATTAGGATCTGGACTAACAGAAGCTATCGTGGTTAACCCTTTTGAGGTAGTAAAAGTTGGCTTGCAAGCGAATCGGAACAAATTTACAGAGGTAATCATTTAATGTTTTCCTATTGGTGAGGGAATGTAAAAGAATTTTCAATATATGTATATGCTATATATATAAGTATGAACCCAGCTCTTAGTCATTTGTTAAAACCATAACAAATTATTGTTAAGGAAGTAGCATAAGAAAAAGTCAAGTTTCTTCCACAAGGGAAGCGTGAACAAAAATGTTCTAAAGTCTGATGGGCAAACGCATGTTTACAAGTTTTTATTTTAGATTTGGAATGTAATCTATAAGGACTTATTTGGAAATGTTTCCCCTACTTTTGGCAAGACTTCTATTTCACATTACGCTAGAAGAAACTGAAGAGAAACCATAGAGGTGATAATATTGTGCTTTAAAAAAAAATTATGGAGTCATTTTTTAAAATTGCCGTACTCCTTTCTCCACTCCACCCACCGCCCTCCCCCAAAGGTTCTGATAATCTGTCAAGCTTGTCTTTTGGTTTAATCTGAATGAAGCAAGTTACTAAACCTGTGTAGACATCACTACTTGGACAATGATGGGTCCTGACATTTAGTCACTGATACATGATGTTCCATGAAGACAGGTGCCTTCACTTCCTCCCAGTTGCCTAATAATTCCCTTTAAACCACCAAGTCCAACTGTTCTTCTTTTATTCTTTGGGGTGCCAAGCACCAGATAAAGGAGAAAATAAGGAGATTGGCGTGCTAGGTCCTTCCTTCCTCAGCATTTTAATTCCACAACTGGGTAGCATGTGGTATAAATTGCTTTGGAGTATCTGCTGACCTGAAGTTCTCTGTAGAATAGTTCCCCTGCCTACTACTTAAACAGCTGCTAATGGGTGGAGACCCCCCTCGCTCCCACCCCACTTCCTGCCTGCTGATACTGCTTGAGAGCTCCCTGGCAGCTTCTTGAGCAGGGGTGTGGGAAAGGAGAAGGGGCCCCGACTCACCTGTAGCTGCCAAGACCCAAGGAGGACAGGGTTGGGCTGCTTCAGCAGATGGTAGCCACTCAGATGAAGTCCATCCTAATTAAGGGAGAATTTTTTTTTTTTTAAGTTTCAGAAGGTTGCCTTAATTGGGGTGATATTCGGCACTTTAATAAAAATTGAAAAACCTTGCATTGCCCCAGTCTTTGTTTTGTTTTCTATTTCCTTGAGTGAAGGAAAAAGGTGGTGAGGAATAGGAAGAAAAGAGAAGAAACACTTTTCGAATGTCCTATTGAAATGGAGCAGCCCCCAGTGAAATCTGTTCAAGGAAATTTTGATTTATTAGACTGGGAGAGTTACCAGCTAGAAGAAAATTGTGGAGCTCCTCCTCCTCCCCAGCCTCCTTTTTGTCCTTGGGAAGCTTGTCAGGGCAGCAAGGAGGGGGCAAAGGAAAACAGGTATTCAACTGCGGTCCTTTATCAAGGCAGCACGTAACCGGAGGGACGCAAATGGGACAGAGCACCAAGGAGCACTCATGGGAATGAGAATAGTGAGTCATCACAGCACCCCTGCTCATGCCTAATGTTGTCTCTCCTCTGCCCTCAGGGAGGTTCCACACTGAGGCCAAGTAAGAGCTACTAAATGTGTTGCTTGCATTAAGGCCTTGCTAGAATACAGGAAACACACTTCCAGCTTAACACAAGAGTATGTGTACATGGTCCCAGCTCACTGACAGGAGTGTGCTGTGTGTCAACTATTTACGTATATGCAGACAGGCAGTTTTTAAGTGGGGGGAGAACAGGAGCTTGTTTGGGGTCGTTTCCTTTGCAGAATCCACTGAACTGGACTCATTTTTAGGTATTTACTTAGACAACACAAAAAATTTCGGTACTTTATAACCTTCAACGAGTCAGACTTGGTCAGGCATGTCAGCATTTATTTCTGACAATGATCAAGATTCAGTAGCTGAACTGAGGTGGTGCTTTATAGGCAATATTGATCAAGGAAAAAGGAGTTGGTGGTAGTCACCCAACATAAAGTAAAGGAACTATGCTTTCTGAAAATGAAAAAAAAAATCTGAGAGGAACAGATGACATGATGAGAATAGCAAATTTGGATTTAGTTCTTTAAAAATAACTGGTAGTCATTTTTGGCAACTGTAGCTATTTCCTATGTCTTTTGTCTAGGACCCACTAACTCCAAAGCCTTCTTCCATTGACTAGCACTTTCTTTTATCCAAAAAGGAGATACTTTTTGTTAATCTGTGCCTGGGTTGGAGTAATCCAATTGTTAGGTGTGCTCACTTCAACATTTGTATGGCCAAGAATACATATTACTTTCTTCACTCTGAGGCTTTGTCAGTTGTCAAGAAGAGTGTGCATTGGAGGTGATGGGTGGGGTGGGGAAGAGGAAGAGAAAGGAAGGAAGAACGGAATTAATGATCAATGCATTTAAAGGTTATACTTTAAAAAAGTTTTAGTCCAAGTATAAAAGTAATGCATATTTATGTTAGAAAGCACAAAAAAATATATCTCTTATATAAATAAGTGTGTAAACATATTAAAAATGATCTATACTCCAGAGCAGTGCTGGCTGATACCAATATAATGTAAGGCACATTTTCTAGTACCTATATTTAAAAAGGCAAAGAGAAACATGAAATTAATCTAATACTGTATTTTATTTATTTATTTTTAATTCTGTAACCCAATACATCCCAAACATTGTCATTTCAACATGTAGTCAGTATAAAAATTAGATATTTTACACCCTTTTCATATTTGGTCTTTTAATCTCAGGTGTATTTTATGCTTACAAGCACACTTCAGTTTGAACTAGGACATTTCAAATAGTCAATAGCCATGTATGGGTAGTGATTTCCTTAAAGGACTGTGCAGGTCTGTCATGCAAAGGAATTCATACAAACTTCTAAATTGTGATTACCTCTGGAAAGGAGTCTAGAAGAGGGGGAGTGGAAGGTAAGCGTTTAAGGGAAGGGCTTTGTGTAGTTGAATGTTTATCATGAGAATGTATTCAGCATTACCTGTGAACATTTACTTTAAAAAGTAACATTTTCATCGTAGAAAATTTAGGAAATCCAGAACAGTATAAAGAGAAGTATGTAATCCCAAAGAAATGTTCTTTGGCTCTGCCAGGATCAAGCCTCCCTTTAGGGAGAAGTTTCTCAGCTGATTTCGGTAGGAATGACTTGCTGGCCCATCTTAAGGCTCAATGTTGCATAATTCAGTTTCCATTACTTCATTTATAGTAGCAGAAACCCCCGTTTTTTCCTCCTCTATAATTTCTAAAAAACATTTAAACCTTACATGCGAACTATCAAAGAACATATAAACAGCTGTCTAGAACAGGAAAGCCACAGGTGAACTGGCAAATCTGGCCCAGGGTTGGAGAGAGATACACCCATCATGCTTTTTACCATTTTCTAACATGGCCTTGAACAAGTTTCATGCAGTTCCCTCGGTGATAAAATGATGGCGATCAGTCCAGCTGTCTTACAGCAAGGCATTTCTGTGAAGCGGCTAGAAGCACAAGCTCTAGAGGGCCATCTCTGTCCCTGACAATGTGACAAGTTCATGTTTCCCACTCTATGGTCGTTTCCAATTTTGTCAAAGAATAATAGCAATAGGGTTGAGATGTGTATGCAAAGCTGTCAATGTAGCCTGTCGGGTAGTGAAGGTTTAATGTGTCAGTAGGTGTTATTACATGTTTTTATGAGAATTTAAATATGATAATATATACAAAGATCTTAACACAGAACCTGGTACATGGTAGGCAGTCAACGAACGATAACTATTTCAAGATGCAAGTTGATCTTATAAATGCTTAAGTTTACCTAAAGACATTTATCGTGAGATAGTACCCCAATTAATATTGAGCAGTCACAGCTGACTCCAGCTGTGGGCACGTAGACAGCTTACTGGGTGTGGTTTTTTCCCTCGGTCCACATTAGGCAGCGCTCAGCTGCCAATACGATCCATTCAGCCGGAATTCTTTATCAAGGCTTAACGGCTGGCAGCCTAGTTACAGTGCCTACTGACAAGGTCTTTAAACTCAGATGCATATCTACTATCATGAACAGAAGTAGCTGGATCTCTGCTGTAAATAGCTAGCAGATAGCAGCAGAAGCTAGAGATTGACACAAAAAACATTTGAAGCCACTTTGGAAAGAATTCCAGCACAATCAAGATAGGCTTCCTCTGGAATAGTTGTACAAAATTAACATGTATTTTATTTTGAGGGGAGGGGGAGCGGGAGAGGGAGAGAGAATCTTAAGCAGGCTCCACACCCAGCACGGAGCCCAAAGCAGGGCTCGATCTCACAACCCTGTGATCATGACCTGAAGCCGAAATCAAGAGTCAGACGCTTAACCGAATGAGCCCCCCAGGCGTCCCAAACATGCGTTCTTGATCAAGCCCACTTAATCACTTCACATGGAAGTTTTGAACTAAGCTGATTTTCAGCCTTTTCGGTTAATTGTAGCTACCAGTTGTGGTGGAACACTCAGTGGATGGGCTGCAGGCAGAACGACCATGTAGCTTGCTAACACCTTTAAGAAAAGCAGAGCAGTTTCCCTTATTTTGCCTATTTTGCATCGAGATAACTCTTGTTGTCCCCGCCGGTAGTGTGCGTTTCTCAGGCAGCCTGTCTACTATTCAGCCCTTCTATCCTCCTGTCTTAGATATCAACTGCTACAGATTCCTACACAGGCATTGTGGATTTTCCTATTTCCCCAGCCAGAGGAGGCGAGTCAGCAATGGTCCTTTAAAGATGAACATCTCCCAAGAAGTTGCTACAGCTGAGAGAAGAAGCTCTGCAATGGAGGACAGCTGAGGGCAACCATAGTCAATGTTAATCTTAATAATCCACTTAACGTGGGGCGCCCGGGAGGCTCAGTTGGTTAAGCGTCCGACTCTTGATTTCAGCTCAGGTCGTCATCTCAGGTCCTGGGATTGAGCCCCAAGCTGGGCTCCACGCTCAGCAGGGAGTCTGCTTCAGGAGTCTCACTCTCTCTCTCCCTCTCCCTCTGCCCCTCCCCCCATGCACTCTCGCTCTCTGAAATAAATAATCTTTA